TTTTTATAGGTTCATCCGTCAAATTGATATAAAACAATTTATGAAAAAAGTCGATGAAAACAAAAACACAATATTCCAAACGAAAATGCAAACATTATCCCAATTTTCAATTGCAAAATACAAATTTAACAAACAATATTATAAATATAACAATACTAAACTTTCCCTTCATTCTTAATCGTTGTGCATCAAAGTTACTTGATTCATTCTTCCCCACAAGTCTTTACTAGAATAGACCAACACTCAAAGTTGATTTTTATATAGTAAATAAGAAATTTAAGTAGAGAATATAACAATACTACCTATTTCAGAATGGTCTTAACTAAGATTTAAATAAAAAAATGTACCTCTTTATCAGCTTCCTTCTCGCTAAACATTGCACAAGTTCTAGAGTATGATGGAGTAGAATTTTCTACACACAATAGAAAAAAGTTAATAATAAAAAGAAGTGTATAAATAACAAATATAAAACAATAAATCCTACCATGAATATCAGTGCAAAGCTAATCCTGAGCACACATGAAAGCTTCTAGAGTCGTCGGCTGAAGCCTATTTCTATATGGACTCACAAATCTACCACTTGTACTAAACGCCGATTCGGATGCCACAATAGATACTGGAATGGCTAATAAATCTCTTGCAACCTTCTATAAAGTCGGATATTTTATTGAATTTGTTTTTCACCATGTCAATAAATAAAAACCATCCATCCTTGGCAATACTGGCTCATCTAGAAAAATATTGAACTCTGTTTTTACATGATCAGCAATAATAGAATGGCTAACAAATGTAACAAATTTTCGGAGATGACGACGACTTGGACCATGGAGGCAGTGGAGCCGTGCGTGAGTTTATGGTTGGTGGAGAGTAGGGTTTGCATTTATATACTGTCATACTAATGCTATTATTATGAGCTAATGGTAAGTGCGCTGGCCAGCTGAGTCAGGTAGATGTAATGGGGGGATTTTTTTTTCTTTTTTAGCAGGTAATCGGTTCGGCTTCGGTTCCACAACGTAAATAGCATACCCGTACAGCCATGAATTGGTTTATTAAAATCAAAATCATATCCACCCTATTGCACCATTGGTTCGGTTAACCACGATTTTCAATTTTGACGGTTCAAATTGCCATTTCTACACGTTAGTATACATGTTGCACGATGGGTAGAACAAACCTATGTAAGATGATCTCGATGGTCTCTAGTTTTACAACACACGAGAATGTCATCAAAATAAATGACGAGGAATTTACCCATGAATGGTCGCAGGGCTTGTGTCATCCCTCTCATGAAAGTACTCGAGGCATTGGTTAGTCCAAAAGGCATGACCAACCATTCGTAAAGACCATCCTTTGTTTTAAAGCCAGCCTTCCATTTGTCACCTGAGCAAATCCTAATTTTGTAATACCCACTCTTTTAATCAATCTTAGAAAATATTATGGCACCAACCATCATATCCAAGATATTATCAAGCCTAAGGATTGAAAAACGGTACTTCACAATGATCTTATTGATGGCACGACTATTAATATACATCCTTCGAGAGCCATCTTTCTTAGGAGTCAAAAGGGCGGGAATCGTACAAGGACTTAAACTCTGACGGATAAATCCTTTATGAAGGAGCTCAAATTCTATAGCATGTTGAATATCTCGTAAAGGGAGCAGCAGATCAGGAAGGTCCTCAGGAAAGACAACTCGAAACTCTTGAAGAATTAGCTGGACCTCCTTAGGGGTCAATATTGGACATTTTGATGGAATTTCCATGACAACCACTGTGAACACGACAGAATCCTCCCCAAGTTTAAGCTCAAATTCTATAGGGTTAATCATATGTGATCCTTTCCGTCCCACAATTTTCTTAGCTTCTTGTGAATTAACTAGTTTTGATATGGTAGTGAATAGCAGTAGGTGTTGAATATTATGGTGACAGTGACTGGTAGCGGGATGAGCGGTAGTGGTGGCATGATTTGTGACTGGTGGCGGTGGTGTACAGAATCGGCCGGAGGTAGTATGGGTTGTGTAGTAGCGCAAAATGTGTTTCTGTTGGAATTGTGTATCTAGGCTGGTGGTAGTAGTTGTAAGGTGAAGCTGTTGGGGAGTTGCAGGGGCTGTGTATGTGGGTATGGGGTTTTGTTTATTCTCACAAAATCTTGGCGGAGGAAGAAATCAATAGCTTCCAGGTTGGTTCGTCTGCAGGTGTTCCAGTAGGCAATATTAGACAACATGTTGATGAAAGAAACCAGGTTTTAGCTCTGATACCACTTTGATGTTGCGGCCAAATAAATATTGAAGCAGTCCCATGGAAGAAGAAGAGGAAGGAGGAGAAAAGAAAAAGGAAAGAAGAAAATACCACAGAGAAGAACACGTGAGAGGGCAGTAAAGCCTGTTAATTTCCCATCATTGTCTGCCTTCCTTCACCTCCAATACACCACTTATAGATGAAGGTTATGGGCTTGGGTCAGGCCCAAATACAAACCCAATTTAATAGTACAAAATAATAAAACCCAAAAATTATTCAAATGGATGTCCTCATCAAATATCTTTATGATGTAGTTGCTACAAGTTGATCTATGATTCCTATCAATTTTGTCTATTTTAGGATAACCAACATAAGAGCATCTCGTCATTTTAAATGGTTAATAATTGACCTATAATTCCCATCAATTTTGTCAATTTTAGAAGAACCAACATAAGTTACTGATAGAACACTAATGAAAAGAACAGACTATTTTATTGAATCGAAGACGATTACAGGAAAATGAAATTACAGTGAAGCCTATAGAAGGCTGTAAACAAGACTCTCGAGACTTTTAGTCCAAAAATGACCTGACCAATACTCTTCTAACCCCTCTTATTTATAGACTCTCCTAACTGAAAGTTGTTATCCCATATTCCCCCAAAACAGAATTTGGTTACCCCTTTCCCTCCACTTCTGAGATCCTCTTCTTCCCCCTTATAGAATATGTGAGATGAATCGGTGGCCTAACAGTTACATAAATGATTCTTTATAATCTTGATAGTGAAACACATGCTTCTACTTTGTGCAATTACAATAACTTTCACACTGAGACACATTATCTCATTAATAATTAAAGAGGGAGGCAAAGTTGAAATGTTTACTGATGGTTTAATATAACCTTTATAAAATGCATCTTTGTGTGTTAGAATAAATTTGATAGATGCTTTTTGGCATCTCATTATGCTTGATTGTGGTGGATGGCACTGCTGATTCTTACACTAGTGCGGTTTGGAAAAAATTGCTTTGTCGAACTTATGTTATATTGACTGTTTTTAATCTTTCTCCCAAAAGGGTCATGCCAAGTGTGCATTCATATGGATATTGTGGAAAAACTCTACAATTTTGGTTTCATTTTCATTAGTGTTCTCTCATTGACATAGATGTATCTTGAGGTGATCCTGGGCTTGCTGCTATCATTTCTTGTAATTTCCATTCGATTGGTGAAGGTACCGTACTAATTTTAAAATATTTTGGTTGCAGGGTGGTGTCCCTCTGGTTTTGTCCACTGCTGCTCCAACACCACTCGTGACTCAAGCTACTGGAGTTATGCAGAGCTCCCAGCAACCACTTCCAGTTTTCCGGCAACCAACTGGGATGCATTTACCACACTATCCTCCAAACTACGTTCCATATAGTCCATATTTCTCTCCATATTATGTCCCACCAGCAGCAGTTCATCAATTCTTAGCTACTGGTGCATTACCTCAGCAACCTCAGGCTGGAAGTATGTATCCAACCCCACCTGGGGCAACTGCCAAATATTCAGTTTCTCAATTTAAGCAGGGGCCTAATGCAGGAAACCCAACCTACATGGGAGTGCCGGGCAGTTACGGGCCATATGGCCTTTCCATGGCCAACTATACTTCCAGTTCAGCCACTACAGTTGTTACTTCAACGTCTAATGAGGATCTTGCCGCCCATCAAGTTAAAGAAAATAGTCTCTATGTCAGTGGTCAACAGGTGTGTATTTTTGTGCATCTCACATGATCTATTTTGACAATTTTCACTCATTTTGGAATTAAGTTTTATTGAGGTTATGAAAAACATTGAGGTAGCTTTACTTCCTAGATAATGTTAGAATCAATCTTGAATAACTTCCTGCCATCAGAGGGTACACATAGGTTGTAGTCCTGGAATTATGTTAAGAAAGTTATAACTATGAAACTCTTAACAGTATTCTAAGGTAAGAACATCGGCTTATAATCTTGTACTTCGATTTATGACTTGCTCGAGTCCCCCTATGGACTCTATATAAAGAAAAGAGAGTGAAGAAAGATAAAAAATCTCCTAGTAAATTACTTGTCCATTTCCAACAAAGAAGGTATATCAAAGTGAAGAAATTGTAAGAAACAGGGCATAACCTTTTATTAAGTTTCGTTGTTTTGAGAGAAAAAAGTATTATCCTCTGATTCTTGTCTGATGATGCATTGGGTGAGTACACTAATGTTGCGAATTTGCTTCTCTGCAGAGTGAGGGTTCAGGCGTATGGTTTACAACTCCCAGTCAGGATATTTCTTCCTTACAGGCTAGTTCGTTTTACAATCTTCCTCAGAGTCAGCTTCCTTTCACTCCAACGCAGCCTGGCCACGGCACATTTGCAGGTATGTACCACCCTTCACAGGCAGCAGCAACTGTTCACCATCTTCTGCAACAATCTCAAACCATTACAAGTCCTGTCGATATGGTTGGACCTCCAACTAGTGTTTATCAGCAACCACAGCATACTCAACTCAACTGGTCTAGTAACTACTGAATGAGGAGACGTTTCTTTTGAAAATCAATTACATTTTAGAGTTCCAATCTTGAATCGTCTAATGTGACGTCAAACAAGTTTTGATTTGAAGAAACAAGTGCCGGACCCAAGTGTAAATTTATGGAAGGAGCCAATATATTGTGACATCTTTTTAGTCGATTAAGGCCAGACCATGCTAGCTAGCCATCAATTTCATGCTTCTGATAGATGGTTTGTTTTTCCTTGACATAACCGGGGAGTCTTTCTATAGGTTTCGGCTTGATTTTTAGAGCATGGGATGGTTAAATTATTAATTTTCTTTTTCTTATTTTCTGTAGTTTGGAACCAAATAGGTACCATTAAGGGATTTCTGATTCAGGTTCAAACATTTTTTGCATTCGTGTAAATTTGTTGAGAAAAGATTTATGAAAAGTAATTTTTTTTTCTTTTTTTGATTGAAAATGAGTTTAGAGAAAAATGAATTTAAATGAGTCTCCACCAAAAGAGCTAAACAATATTAAAAAAATAATTTTTTTCGATATTTGTTTGAGAGAGAGAGAGAGAGAGAGAGAGAGACTAATAAGCGTTCTGGCTTGAGATTTGTGTATTATTACATCATTTTTGAAGGTTTATTTGTTAAATGTCAATATAAAGAAACACACTTCATCTCTTCGATTTGTGCTGTGATATCCTTGCGTGGGGATCATATCGTTCGTTTCAAAATGTCTTAGATTGTTAACTAAAGTTTAAAATGTCGAGTTTTGACCACTAAACTTTGGAATATGTCGTACGTTACTTACTAGCACAATTGTTGAACTTTGAAAAATATCGAGTTTGCAGTGAGTAATGTACATCATTTTTCAAAGTTTAGTAAATAACATACAATATTTTTCAAAGTTCAGTGATCAAAACTCGACATCAAGATAAGACTGCCAATAGTACAATTTCTTCGTGTGTCTGCTTTTTAGGGATTTCTGATTCAGGTTCAAACATTTTTTGCATTCATGTAAATTTGTTGAGAAAAGATTTATGAAAAGTAATTTTTTTTTCTTTTTTTGATTGAAAATGAGTTTAGAGAAAAATGAATTTAAATGAGTCTCCACCAAAAGAGCTAAACAATATTAAAAAAATAATTTTTTTCGATATTACTCAAAAAACAGAGTTAATTGTTCCAATGATTACTGAACTTTGGTACACGTCTTTGATTGGTCACTGAAATTTAAAATATCGACTTTTGGTCATTGAACTTAGGTCAATGTTTTCGATTGCTCAATGAACTTAGGTCCATGTCTTAGATTGTTAACTAAAGTTTAAAATGTCGAGTTTTGGCCACTAAACTTTGGAATATGTCGTACGTTACTTACTAGCACAATTGTTGAACTTTGAAAAATATCGAGCTTGCAGTGAGTAATGTACATCATTTTTCAAAGTTTAGTAAATAACATACAATATTTTTCAAAGTTCAGTGATCAAAACTCGACAGCCTCCTCTGACTGTGTGAGCGTCGTTGCACAGTGGCTTGCAACGCCGACGTCGCTGCAGATACCACGAAGAGCGGCGATAATTGTCGTCACTCAAAGTAGATGCGACATACAATCAAACCTCGACATGGCCGTCGGTTGGTTGTCGAAGCAAATTCATGACCTCGGCCTTCTACTACATCCAATAGGTAGTGATTTTGGGTGTTATCTCTTTCGCTTTCCGATCTGTAGGTAGTGATTTTGGGCTTTTGTTGGTTGTATTTTCAGATCTTGGCCATGGTTGTGGTCGTGATGTTGGTAGTAGGATATGATTGTTGGTGGTTCTGGGGGGATGTGGTTGTAATGTTGGTTGTTGTTGTGGTTGTGGAAGTGGTGGCGATGGTTGTGGTGGGATGCCATGGGGTAGGAGTGTTTGTTGGTGGTGCAACAATGGTGGTGTTTCTGGTTGGTGGTACTGTGGGTGCAGTGGTGTTGGTGAGGTTGGGAGGTGATGTATTGTTGGGTGTGTTTGGAGGTGTTTTTTGGCTGTCGTGGTGTTCCTGGTCGTTGCAATGGTTTTTGGTGATGGTTGTGTTAGCCGTGAGACTAGTGAGGTTATGAGTTGGGTATTGACCTCCTCTGACTGTGTGAGCGTCGTTGCACAGTGGCTTGCAACACCGACGTCGCTGCAGATACCACGAAGAGCGGCGATAATTGTCGTCACTCAAAGTAGATGCGACATACAATCAAACCTCGACATGGCCGTCGGTAGGTTGTCGAAGCAAATTCATGACCTCGGCCTTCTACTACATCCAATAGGTAGTGATTTTGGGTGTTATCTCTTTCGCTTTCCGATCTGTAGGTAGTGATTTTGGGCTTTTGTTGGTTGTATTTTCAGATCTTGGCCATGGTTGTGGTCGTGATGTTGGTAGTAGGATATGATTGTTGGTGGTTCTGGGGGGATGTGGTTGTAATGTTGGTTGTTGTTGTGGTTGTGGAAGTGGTGGCGATGGTTGTGGTGGGATGCCATGGGGTAGGAGTGTTTGTTGGTGGTGCAACAATGGTGGTGTTTCTGGTTGGTGGTACTGTGGGTGCAGTGGTGTTGGTGAGGTTGGGAGGTGATGTATTGTTGGGTGTGTTTGGAGGTGTTTTTTGGCTGTCGTGGTGTTCCTGGTCGTTGCAATGGTTTTTGGTGATGGTTGTGTTAGCCGTGAGACTAGTGAGGTTATGAGTTGGGTATTGTTGGTGTGTTTGGTGGTGGCGGTCGTAGTGGTTTCTGGTGGCGACGATTTTGTTGGTGGTGAAGTGGTGGTGGTGTTGTGGTTGTGGCGGTGGTGACGGGTGAGGGTTGTTGCAAGTGGTGGCGGCAGTCGTAACACCCCAAACCTTTTTACTATTTTTTTATATGAGTTTAAACTTAATATGGGTCATTTAGCAAATAAAATAGTCCATGTCTAAATTTGTCGTCACATTAAAAGTCCGGAGGTTAAAGTGATAAGCTCAATCCACTTATTCGCATAAAAGATTTACATTACTTGCGAGTACTTTTAGAATTTATCGTAAACTATTTGGATCGAATATTTAATTATTTTTATAAGTTGGTGGAATATATCAAATATTATATTCATTTTGTAGCTCGTATTAAATAATATAATTTGGGTTCAAGAAAAAGTAATTTTGAGTTAGTCCTGTTCGAATTATTCTAATAAAAAAAAATGCTAACCTTTAATATTTTATCAATGTATATGATAATAAAAGAAAAAGAAAAAAGGACAAAACCTTTCAGGTAGGAATATGAGAAGATAGTAAACATAATTACCATTAACTTAGATAATAATAATAAACCTAATTAATTTTTTATTAACATGGAATGCATTGATTTGAATTATGTCACCAACCTTTTGAACTCTTTAAAGGTTACATGCGAGTGCTTATATATAGGGCGTGAGGTGAGAGTGTTTTGTGTTATAAATTTTATAAATTCATTTTTATTTTAACATACACTATTCACTTCCATATTATCATTTCAAACCACATTTTCTTTTTATTGTCAATTGAGGTAAGAATACATCGTACAAAGTGATAAATTCATATTCCTTGATGTTTGTATAATTTTTGGCATAAAATGCTATGAGGCATTCGGGTCGCACTCTATGTTAAATCTTTCGGGATGAATCGTTAGGTCAAAAATGTCAAATCCTAAGGGATGAACCATTTGGTCAAATATGTTAAATCCTACGGGCGTAGAGATTCTTAAGAAATTCATTGAACTCTAAATCTAAGAAATATCGGTATGTTATGTTAGTTTTATATTTATATCATGTGAATAAGAATGAGTACGTATTCTTACTGAGTGTTTTCAAAATACTCATTCTTACAATACCTTTTAGATGAGAATGTGTCATTTGGATGCGTGGAAGATTCACCAAGTGATGCTTATGGAGTCGCCAAATAAATTTTCTAGAAAATATAATTATCAAACTTTTATTTGAAAAACATCTTCATATTGAATTTTGTGCACATTGTTTAATAGCTATTTTTTTGTATTTTCAACACTTAAATAAAGTGATATTTCCGCTTAAATTAGAAAAAGAAGATGTTTGTAACACCTTGAGCTATTTTTATTTAAAAATAATAGTAAAAATGAAAAAGATCTCGAAGCATTTTAGCGGTGGTGGCAGTGTAGTTGGTGGTGGTATGTGACCGACTATTTGACCTGTGACCAATTGTTGGTGTTGGTGGTGGTGGTGGTGGCAGTGTAGTTGGTGGTGGTATGTGACCAACTATTTGGTCTCGTCTGTAACTGTGACCATAAAATGTGACATCAAAATTCGATCATTTGTCATTAAAAAGTATTTCGTGACTATCAAATTTGAAAATATGTTACCTGTGACTTATAGTTTTTTGAATTTGAAATTTTATCTGTGACCTCGAAATGATCCGTGACTTACAAAATTTTTAATTTGTGACTTCGAAATAATCTGTAACCAATTAATTCGATGATATGTGACCAATAAGTAAATCTATGATCATTAATTACGTAACTGTGACTTTATTATATTTAATTAATAAATATTTTCAATTAATTATACAGAAACCTGAATTTTGGATTTTTAAACTTTGTACCGAATTTGTGAATTGATGTAAACAATACACCTGACATATGAATTTTTCCCTTCCAAAATATTGAAACAAAGCTCAGTCCACTAATCGGATGAAGTGTTTGAATTTCCTAGTTGTGTTTTTTTTAATTAAAGAACATTAGTTTTTTGAGTCGGGATAAATTCAAAACAAATAATGATGTGATTGACAAAAAATTATCTAGCCTTGCTATATATCAAGAGACGTTGAAATGAATACTCTTCAAGTCGTAAAATCTTGATGGGTTATTGATACCATTTTGTTTTTTTAGTAATTAAAGTTGGACGTTGCTGTGTGTACAGAAAATATACACACAGGACAGATACAGAACAGACATGACAGTAGGGCGTGTGGGTTTTTTGCATTATTTTATTCATTGGGATCCACCTCAATGTGAGATTTATGTAGGTTTTCTGTGAAAACATTTTCTGTACACATGAAAAAATTCATTAAAGTTAATTAAGTTTTGTTTAAATATTTTTTATTATCGTACTAATGCCATTGAGCCAGTCTTCCGCCGTGGAATCAACATAAAAATGAAAGCAAAGGACAAAACATCCTATTATTAGACAACTCA